GTTGATCCAGCAGTTCCTGTTCCAGCGACAGTATTCCAAATATTTAACTGTGTATACAATGATTTTGCGATAACTTTATTAGAATTATACAGTGAGCAGTAAAGCATATTATTAATATCAATAAAAAGACCATAACATGGTCCACAATTATACATTACTGGAACACTACTTGTTGAATTAAATGCCCATTTATCCACCCGATTATATGTATTACCATTATCAACATAAATGTCACCATTATCTGTGATGAAAAGGCCATAGGGTGAATCTAAACCACCCGAGATAATACTTGTCGGTGTTGTACTACTATTAAACCAAATTAGCACGCGATCGTTTGCTCTATCAGCTACATAGACTGTATTATTTGTATCGACAAAAAGGCCATGAACATTTGTACCAAGTGTAGCACTAGTAGCAAAAGTTATAGCTACAGGATTCCATGTTGTATTTGCACAAAATTTCGGTAGATTGTATGCGATAGCTACAGAAAATAAAGAAGATCATTATAAACCTAACGATGGACATTCTACATTCGATCAGTGTATTCATAATTATCTCATAGATATTTTTCTTTAAAAGAAAGATTGTTGTATGAAGTTAGATGTCTTATTTTAACAAAATGCATACCTGATGTTTGCTTAATAAATAGCGATAATAACCAAATACTGAACAAGTTAAATAATTTCATATTATTTATCTGAAATAGAATTTATTTTCATATCAATAAATGTTAATACGTAATAAAAAAAAATATTAAATAGAATATTTTTACAATCTTCAATAGATTTCTAGTGCTTAAATAAAATCTTATACAATACAAATGATTTTAAAATGACATGATTTAAATAATAATATTTTTTTCTTCAATAGTCAAATACTACTAAATGTAATACAAATATACGAATTTAATTTTCTATTATAAATATTTTTGTCTCTATAATGAACTAAAAAAAAAAGAATTTTGAAATTTCTTAAAGATTATTAATTTTATAGTCTGACATAAGGGATGAATCATTTTAAAATATTATTGTAATGAATGGGAATTTTTTGAAAAACTAATTCTTATATTTTATCTTATCTGTATCGTATTTATAAACCTCAGTAATATATTAGTACGAAAGAATCTATTTTTTTACCTAGAAATATATTAAAGTTATTCTATATAATTTTAAAAAAATGTAATTTGTTGTCCTTTTTCATTATTAACAAACGGTTAAAGAAAATGCATTTAAAAAAATACTCTATGAATAGATTTCTATTTAAATATTTCTTTTAATAATATTAAAAAAGAAAATGTTTGTTTGTTGTATTTTATTCTCTAAGCAATTTTCATATTCTAAAATCCAATTGTAAAACAAGAAAAATTGTTTACCATATTTATAAGAGACAGAATAATCATTTCTCAATCGATAACTAATATTTGATTGAACTTCTGTATGTTTATCTTAAAATATCTGTTAATTGATTTTTTTCAAAAAAAAAGACTCGAGAAAATTTTTTTTCCCTATTTAATTAGTTATAAAATGTTGACATACGGTTAAAATAAATAAAATCACTTTTACATTATATTTCTAAACATTTGCATATTATTACTTATACAATAAAATGAAAAGTATCCAGGAAATAAAATGTATAATGAATCGGATATTATATTTGATGTATTTACTTTTCAATAATTAAAATAATAATTTTAATTTCTAACCAATTCTATTGAATGATTTTCATAGAAATTTGTATTTTAATTAATGAAAATGAAATATATCAAAAATAGTGTCCGTTACATCATTTTTTATAATACTACTAATATTATTATCTAATTTGTGACGACTAGTAATTATTTTAACTAAATAAAAAATAATGTAAGAATAACATAAATTCGTTTAAATAAATATTTAAAAAAAAGAAGTGAAGATTTATATTTATATATCATTCTGAAATGATGATAATCGAGATATTGCAGTATTTGATGATTTTACTCTTACTTAATGTCATTAAAATGAATAATCGTTTTATCTTATTTATGAAAAGCTTACCTCTTTCAAGATTCTTTTGAACAAGATGAATGAAAAATGTAATATACTAGTCTTCTCGAGAATGTCTAATAAATATGTTTACTCTGTAGCGTACTATCACGTTGGTGACGATTCTTTTTTCTTCTCTTATACTATATGCTTGGTTTATCACTTGTAAAAATAAAAAAAAGACAAAGGAAGTTAGAAACACAACACTTAAGAAATATGTATTCTAAATCAAAGAATATCACTGAACAACGAATTGATAATCTATTATATTAGATCGAAATTCAGATTGAAAATATATAATCATAGAAAGATTTAAATGAATTATCAATTCCTATATTTTTCTGTGTACAATTATCTGAGAAATAATGAATAGAAATATCATTCGTAGAAAGTACATGATCATAGTATCGAAGTATCAACAAAAATAAACAAATATTATTCATAGATATAATTAAATAGTTTCAGTGTATATTTTTTTTTCTCAGAAAGTTTATTTTAGATTTTCATTTGTAAAAACTCTTAATAAGTAATAGAAAAAGTTGATTATTCAAACAGAACATTGTCGTCATCAACAAAAAGAAAAAAAACTCTATGTGTTATTATAGAAACCATACAACTAAATGCATTCTGGCCTCTAATTACGATTTTTTTAAGTATAGGATCCTTTAATACACTGATCAGGGGTGTTCCGACGGGGGGCCGCGACGGTCCCCAAATCTTGAAAATCTTCCAAAATTTCTGAAAAATTACAAAAATACTAGGAATATTTTTGAAACTTGTCAGAAAATCTCGCAAAATTCATCGACAGCTCCCAATGTTTTGGACCTCGAGACACCCCTGATTACGTTGTTGCTTCTCATCATTCCTCCATGTTTGTAGAATCCACTTTTTCTTCTACTGATGACTAAATTGAAACGACAAGCCATTCTATTCTTATCTACAAAAAAAAATAGTTTCAATGTATTTTAATCAAGAAAATGTAGAGGTGTAACTTCTAGTAAAATATTCATTTAACATTTTTTTAACTGGAGAAAAATAAGTTGGAATATTATGAAAAGGCCGATTTTTTTATATCGATATATTGTAGATAAATAGAAGTGCTTCAATCAATTGATACATATTACATAGAACAAAAGTATGATGAATTTGAGCAATCAATTAAACTATATATCATCTAACAAAATCATTTTCTGCCATTTTTTTCTTTCAAATAAAATGTAATTTAATTTATTAAAAGAAACTTGTTATGCATGTTAAGACGAAATAGTAATAATAACAAAATATAAATAGAAAATATTCTGAGATCGAACAAAACAGCTCTATATTTACAGTTTATGCCGTAGAAAATGATAATACTTTTAAATATACATATGTATTAGTTAATAATAGAAATGCCATTAACAGTAACTTTATTACGTACACATTCAGTATTATTTCCTATTGAATTTTATTGTAAATTTTGGTCATTTATTAAATGGTATTAGTTTATATCTGATGACATTAGCATCGATTGAACGTTATTTACTTTTATTTTACAATTCATTCTGACGTCGCCATATATTTCTTATACGTCGTTTACCTTTAGTTTTTTGTTTTCTAAGTATTAATTTGTTTTATTTTATTTTTTTGACAATATTTATTTATGATTGTACAAATACTTGTAGTCTACAGAATTATTTATTAAGTACTTATGACACGATAGCTTATCAAATGATGCCAGTTTGCTTGATAGGTGTTGTTAATTTATTTACTATAATATAAGCCTTACGTCAAAAATCTAGAATGAAACAACAAAATTTATGGTTAAAAAGTCGTAAAATGGTCATACGATTGGTTTCGCTTGCTTTTGTATATGCAATTGGTTGGATTCCAACAACAATTTCGATATTAGTATATTATTTTAGTTCAATATTAAATTCAAAATTAACATTTACTTATTGATTTATGTCCATTTTTTTGTTTAGTTGGTTTAACTGAAGCACGAGATAGATTTCGACGTTTCATCTCATCGTATCGGAAGAATCAATTGAAAAATAATATGAGTAATTAAAAATCTTATAGAACATTATATAATTAAATAAATAAAGTTCTTAGGAAAGAATTATACTACTTTTTAAGTTAATATTTTGTACAATACAAAGCTGTCAGCACAGTACCTATAAGATTAAAATGTGAAACACGAAATAGTTTCTATAACGTCAGCTAATAACATCTATTATATTGAGGGTGTGAAGCAAGGTGTATATATGGATAAATACAAGATCGATAGCTGCCCCCGTAACGCCTAGTTTTTATAAAAGCGATCAGAAGATAAAAATACGATAGAAATATATTAAAGTTAAATCTTTTTCGAACTGTGTTTTCATTTTGTAAATAAATCTGATCTCACACAATCGATACAATATAAATATGAGTTCAGAAGAATCAATTTTTCGTTAGTTTTCATCAGGAGAGACTAAAAATATATTCTATAGTACTGTTGTTCTTTTTTTATTTTAAATATGGACTCGCAAAAATTAGTCTCATTAAAGTGCACTAGTGGATTTTCCGCTATAAATTATATCATCAGAATACGTACTGTATATATATACCGGTTTTTCAATAAAACCAAAGCAACAAATAAATTAATTCTGTTGGTTATCTCAGTGTAGCCAATAACATAATATTTTCCGTTCTCTTCCTTCGAACAAGTAATTTCATCACTATGAGAAATCTATGATATATCAGAAGTATAAAAATACGTAAAACGAATGAAGCGAAGCATTATTACATTTCATTTTATCGACATAAAACGACACACAAGACCATTTCAATAATTCCAATCAATGTCGAACAAAATACCTCTTACTTTTCTTACATTACCGGTAGAACTTGTCTACCGAATTCTGGATTATCAGAGTGATTTAACAATGCTGTGCTCAATGCAAAATGTGTGTCAACGATTCAATACAATCCTCGACAGTTATCATCGATACAAAGTAAACTTTTTCTTAATCATGCTTATCTATCTTTCTACTACCTTCGAATTACTTACCATTCTTACAATCTATATCTCTAAGAAAATGCGTGAATACCATAATGACAAAGAATATTGATTCGTCAACTATTAATCTCATCAAACGATTTAAAAGCAGTACCGATGCAATAGAAAAGAAATATGAAAATATTCATAAAAACAATCTTCTTTTTCTTTTCTAAACATTATACTGCTCCCACAATATTTTTACTCATCCATGTGCAATATTTAGAAGAGAAAGAAAAGAAGAAATTGCTTTTACCTGATTTTTCGCGTTGAAAGCGGTTTTTTAGTAGAGACTAAAGACCTTATAGAAGTTGTAGGTGAAATAAATCAATTATCCTTCACCAGAATTATTTTTCAGTCAGAAGAGTTCTAATATTATATTGCATACTACTAGTTTTTTCGTTACCTATGGACACATATTACTTCATACAGGCTTTACTTCGATTTAATTAGCGCCATATACCAGAATAAAGAAATGTGATAACACTTAAAGATTATACATATAGATCTTAAGCATTTACACAGCTAAGAACAGTAGTACCACGATCCAGAAAATGGCTATCGAAAGCAAATTGAGAGAGCTCAAGAAGTTTAAGAGACAGTAATAAGATAGACTTATACCATCTTAAGACTCAAAGAACTGAAGAAATTCAAGAGTTACTGATATGATGAGACCATTCGACACGATCCAATAGAAATCCGAGAAACAGAAACACACCGGATTCTGTCAGCAGAAACCTGGGGGCACAATAGAAAACGGTCGCGTAACTGTAAGAACGTAATAACCACAGCCAACAATGTGAAGGCAACTGAATTTCTTGAGTTACTATATTTTTTAGAATTTGTTAGATTTTCTTTCGTACTCATAAGCTTTCTAACAAAGTCTTAATTCTACCTATTCTTGTCTCTTGAATTCCTGCAGTTTTATTAATTTTTCAATTTCTGGATCATATGTACATCTCCTTAAGAAAAAGTAATCATAAAAAAGAAGAATGAGACAACCTTTTTCAGATATACGGCAAAATTTACTGAAGAACTACTAAACTGTAAATACTTTTCTCTTAGCTAAGCATCAAAATGAAACCTAGTTTACTAGTCCACTAAATTCAACATCTATATTATACTGTCTCAGTTTTCAATAAGAATATAGAACAATTCGTTGACGAATAATATGCTAGAAGCTTCTTCGATCTGACTTGATTAATTGAATGTTACTGAACAGTCATTCAGTAAAAAGAGGTGAATTATATGTCGAGCAATATCTGGTCATAAATTTCATCCGCAATGACACGAGTGACTCCTTCTCTCCCATAATATTTTCCTCAATGTTCCAACTCGTGCAAGTACAGGTTTCCAACGAAAAGAGAACCCCCCACTTTTTTTATTCTCATTCTTCTTCACAAGATTTGACTAACGTCTTGTAAAACAATACGGTAACTCATCGTCTCTCTCTATCTATTCAATATATTCCACTATACTGTTTCATACAGACACTTACCACATTACATCTCAAACGGCCTAAACTCGGAGATGTTGGAGCACAACACCTAGCAGATGCATTACGCAATAATAAGGTACACATCATTCTGCTCCATATCTATCGTACATATATCTATCTGAACCTTTTTGTATAGACAATTACCACCTTAAATTTTGAATACAATGAAATCGGAGGTGATGGAGTACAACATCTAGCAGATGCATTACGAAATAATACGGTAAATA